TGTAGTCCAAGTCCCTCATTTTATAAATGAGAAAACTTGAGGTTTGGAGAAACTGACTTGCCTAATGTCACACTGGTATTAAGCAGGAAATCAAAATGGAGGCCTACTTATTTCAAATTCAAAGTTTCACCAGCGTTTATATGTGTCCATGTGCCTAGAACTGTACTGAGAAGGGTGGAATAGAAAAGGAAGTAGGAGTCATACCACATAGCTTCCAGTAGTTTACAATCCACATGAGAAAAGACCACTAAACACCCAACGATTAAATCCCACAAAACAGTATATAATCTAGGACTGAACCATGCACTTCCGAATGTAATTGTGAATGAAATTTGAATTTACTGAAGGAAGTGATCAAACTGGGCTGTATCATGATTACAAAGGACCAATGAGAAGAGTGCTACCCACCTTCTGACAAAGAGGTGACGACTCAAATGGCCGCCTGAAACACATCTTTTCGGACATGACCAATATGGGGACTGGTTTTGCTTGATTATGCACACTTGTTACAAAGACTGTTTTCTTTTTCTCTTTTTTCAACTTGGGTAGGGGGAGTTAAGAGGAAGAAGGTGAGTAGAGAAAACACTGCAAAAAACATTAAAAACAAAGTGAGCTGATGCAGTCAGGGAAGCATCATTAAAGAAAATGGGGACTTGACTAGAGCTCTAAAGGATTTGGTTAAGTGGAGAGCCCATTCCAGGTGAGAAATTTTACATCTTTTACTAGGATTTGTTTTCTAGGGCAAGTCACTTAACCCCTGAATGCTAAGCAAAAGAAAAAAGAAGAAAAGAGCTACAAATCTAGGGTTCATAAAAACATGACAATGGCCAATACATACATACTAGATGTTCATTAGAGCATAGATTTGGAATTGTAAGAAATGTTAGAGTTATCTAATCCAATTCAACCACCTCATTTTACAAATGCGCCTCATTTTACAAATGCAGAAACTGGGGCCCAGAGAGGTCAAGTGGTTTGCCTACAGTCATACAAGTAGTTAAGTAGCAAAGCAGGGATTTGAGCACAACTTCTCAGACTCTACTCTTTCCACTACATCGTGTTGCTTCTGAACTTATTACAACTGTTGCAGCCCTGTAGCAATGTGGTTCTTCAAACACTTTTCCACCACAAGAAGACTTCTTCTTGTGCCTCCTCAGGACTACTTCTTCAAAGTCATAAAATAAGTACATGTTGGGGGAGGGGGGGGAAGATCACCAAGAGTACACCAAAAAAATCCATCCTATATTAATGTCTGGAGACATTAAATCTCAAGAGGACAAATACTTATCTTAGTATAATTCAAAATATGCAAATTATTAATTTAGTAGTATCCCGTAACTTCAGGGCTTAGACAGGATCTATCATTGAATAAATTTGGAAAAGCAATTGGTTAAAACTGTAAATAAGGATGTTTCCAAATTAGAACTCAATCCAGATAAAGCTGACTCTGAGTAAAAGCAAGAAGACCCATTGCTTGCAAACAAGCTCCACTACCTAATTATTTAAAGAAAGTTTCTAACAGCTCTTTCAAATATTATGACCTTTGGTTCCTCTTTTCTAAATATTCTGATACTCTGAATTTTGAAATTCACTGTATGAATTTTCAACAACTCCAAACATAATGGATACAAGAAACATTTCATTTCAACTTGACTTTAATAAAAACCAGCTAGAGATTAATTTCAGAGTGTATATTATAACTTTGCCAAATGCCTATGCAAAGTAGTTTTTATATAGCCCTACTGTAAAAGGATGTCAAGTTTATTTTGAAAGTTTCTATGACACAGGCTGAGGAAAGTAGGTGGAGTACACACAAAATACAGAATCACAGGATCTGGGTTCAATTCCCAGCTCTGCTATACTTAGTACATAGATAACCGTGGACCTCAGTCTTCCACATGCACAAAATGAGGGAATTGGATTAGATGATATCTGAGATCCTTTTTAATCTCTAGCTCTATGATCCTAGGGTCAAAAAGAACCACAAATGTCCCCTCATTTCTCCTGGCCAATGTTCCCAGGCTAAATCATTTCTGTTTCTAGGTCTCAACAATTCCTCATGGAGGCTAAATCTACATCAACACTAATAACTGTGGTATGGGTATATAGGAACTTGCTCTTTTCTGTCTATAAAAGAAAAACTCTCAATTGCTCTTACTGAGTTTTGAATTGGTGATTGAGAAAGCAAAGTCAGCAACCTCATGCAATTCTTTGCACAGCCTCACTACAAAACCAATTCTACCTGTGGATGACTGTCAGTTGATTTCCTGTACTAACAATTTCTTCAAATAAAAGTTTTGCCCCTAATTCTATTCTGCATAAATGCTGCCTTTGTTCTTAATTACCAAAAAAGTCTATTTCTCTTTTAGAAATACAAAATAGATCCAAATCTCTTACCTATATTTCTACAAGTAGTATTAAGCCAGCTTTTCCAATAATCATTAAAGAATGCAAAAACCTGACTACCTTCCTCTCAGGATGTAATATATGTAAAACTAGCCATTCAGCATAAACTTCACATGCAATTACTCCTGTTTTGTATGTGAGATCACTCTGAAAGGTCAAAACACAAAATACATCGTTTTAGAACACTATTTAGAAATAATCTGCTTCAAATCCAATACACTAAAAACCAGATACCATATCCAAAAAACTAAGAGAAAAACCTTTAGGAAGTAATATAGCAATTGTGCTATTTCAAACCATTTACTTGTCAAACTTTATATTAAAAACTAAAATGATATTAGTATTTTTAAACAAGTTTTCAAATTCAAAACAAATACATTACAAGGTTATGGTACCCACTGCAAAATGATCGCAACTTCTACGTTAAATAAACTGAACTACCAGTCTGTACCAAGTACAGACTTTAACTACTACCATATGAAAAGGCACATAATATACCCATGAGTTTAAGACGAAGTTAAAGTGGATAATGACATTTTAAATTAATTAAAGGGAATAGATATAACCCCTCTTTACTTAACCTTCAAAAATAGGAGTTCAAGCAAGCGAAAACTGCCTTGCCAAAATGTCTCAAGTCTAACTTTAAAAAACTTTCTCCAAAGGAGTGTTATTCAGTCTGCATGGCTCATTCATTTGTGTGGTCCTTAACAGAAAAAGGCTAAATACAGAAAAGAGAGGAGAGGGAGAGGAAAAGAAGGGAGAGGGAAGGGGGGAAAGAAAAGAGAGAGGGAGGAGAGAGAGAGAGAAAGAGACTGATTTCTTAAGGTGAATGCTGTTAGTCTAGGAGTTGCATACCAACTGACAAAACTGAAATCTGTACATCACTAACATCTTCAAGAGATAAATGCTTAATATTACTTCTTCCTCTCAGTACAAGAAAAGAAAAAAGAAAAAAACAACATTTTCTTGCTTCCGGGCAAGAAATGGCATTAACCCAATCAATGAGTTTCTTTAGAGGTAATACAAATGTGTGGATTAGCTAGATGAATAGCCATATTCATAATTATCCAAGAATCACAAGCTGAGAAATAAAAATTTAAGTATTTCATACTACTTGAACATTTTGTCATAAACACTGATAAAAAAAATAAAAGGCACCTTATTCTTGTAAATTAGAAATATGTTCTCATGAAATTTACTTGGGGGGTGGGGAGGAAGTCTTTAAAAAAGATACTAATTGATTCCAATTGCTAAAGTTACTGAAAAAAAACAAGGCAGGCTGACACTAAAAGCTTTAAATACATTCTTCCACAACTGAATAAACTGAATCTATATATTTAGCACAAAGCTACAATTGTGATTTTTAACTACATCCATTTCAGCACCGGTCTGAAGAAACTTCCTTGAGAAAACAAGAGAGAATGAGTTACCATGGAGAAGAAGCCTATTACAGAGCCAAGGTGAACTTTCAAACTCAATAATATAAGAAGAAAAAAAAATCTACATTCTAATAAACTTCCAATTATTCTTTGAAATTGATCCAAAAGTTGATCTTCAATATTTACTTTAAATGATCAACTCCATCTTCTGCAACAAGTGACATGAAACTCTACTCCCCAAGGAACATGGGGGTGCTAGAAATAAACTGCTTATGTGATATTGAGAGAGACTACTGTCATTTGGGATGTTACAAAACTGAAATTTAACTAAGTGTACTCTTTTAGTATGATTTTTATTTTTTTAAAGCAGCCACCTAAGGGCAACTGTTGCATCTGCCCATTAACACACAAAGAATGAAAACAAACACACGTACGGCTAATTAAGGTTTCCCCCAACAACACAAGTGGACCAGCTAATTCCTTGAGACAACTGCAAAACCACACAAAGCAAGAAATGTGAAAGGAAAAGAAGCACGAGTAGAAACATTATTTACATGTTTACACCCTAAACAACTCCCTACCTAAGATCCCTTCCAAGAGATGACACTCAAACACTAAAGATAATTCACATTAAACCACGCAAAGTGTCTTGCTACACAAGAGGCTTCTTTACCTTAAAAAAAAAAAAGACCAAACAAATCTACTTAAAAAAAAAAGGCAATGGCTACGTGTATGCCTAAGTCTCAATCCTGCCTTGAGGAAAGATTGCACAGGCTCAATTTTTTTTTGGGGGGGGGGAGTGGGAGAGAGAGAGAGAGACAGTGTGGCCTGCAAACTGCAACAATGCAATCTCCATTTTGAACAATGCACCTCTTTCCTCTTGTAAATCTAGTTTTTTGCCACTTGATGTGCAATTGCATTTCCCCTCTCTTTGGGGGTGAGGTTGGGGGGGGTGACGCTAGAGCAGGATGCACAGTGCAAGAGAGAGACAGAGTGAGAGTGAGAGAGAGAGAGAGAGAGAGAGAGAGAGAGAGAGAGAGAGAGAGAGATGTGTGTGTGTGTGTGTGTGTGTGTGTGTGTGTGTGTGTGTGTGTGTGTGTGTGTGTGTGTGTCTCTTCGGTGTGGAGGGGGTGAGGGGTGGAGGGAGTGGAGGAGGGGGGAGAAGGTGGAGAGTGGGAAAGGCAAGCCCCTGATGCAGCTGGGCTGGGTGGATACCTGGGGTACTGCTGTAGGTGCTGTGGCTCCTGAAGCTGCTCTCGGTGCAATAGCTGGCATCGTCGTCGTCTTCCATTTCCTCGGGATAATCGGAGTCATCGTCGTCGTCGTCCTCCTCCATAATATCCTCCTCCTCCTCCTCCTCCTCGGAGTCCTGCGTCTCCTCGGGGTCCCCCTCTTCCTCCTCCTCTTCCTCGGAGACCATGTCCTCGTCCTCGTCCTCCTCCTCGCTCTCGTGGTCATCGTACACCACTTTGCTGATGCTCCTCCTGGACGGGGTGGCCCGGGCCAGGTGGCCGCCGCCACTACTGCCGCCGCCGCCGCCGCCGCCGCCCCCGCCTCCAGCTCTGCCGCCCCCGCCTCCTCTCCCCCCCCGGCCCGGGGCGCCGGCGCTGGGGCTGCTGTTGGGGGGGCGGCCGGCGCGGCGGCGGCGGCGGCGGCGGCGGCGGCGGCGGCTTCCTCCGGCTACCGCCGCCCCCCCTGGGGGAGCTCAGCCGCGCCTTGGGCGCCACCTCTGCCTGGGCGGCGGCCCACCTGCCCCGGCTGCTGCCTCGGTGCCGGGAGCGGAGCCCCCCGATGGGCCCGGCCGGAGGCGGCGGTGGCGGCGGCGGCGGCGGCGGCGGGGGAGCCGGGGCGCCGCGCTCCGCAGCGCCTGCCGCGGGCTGCTTGGGCGGCCTGCCCCGCCTGCCCCTCATGTCGGAGCCGAGGAGGGAGGGAGGGAGGGAGAAGGGAAAGCCGAGGGGGGGAGGGGGACCGGCCGAGGGGCGGCGGTGGGGAGCCGCTGGGGGCGGGGTGGGGAGCCCCGCGGGGTCGGGGCGGGGGGGGCCCGGCCGGCGGAAGCGGGTGGAGGGAGAAGGCTCAATCCGAATTGCCGGCGCCCCGCTCCCGATCGCCTCCAGCCGCCATCTTGTTTCTTCCCTCTCGCTCGGTGACTGGGGGAACCGACAGAGGCAGCAGGCCTGGAGCGCGGTCACGTGAACGCCCCCGCCGACGAGGCCGACGCCGCGCAGCCGCCTCTAGGGGGAGCGCGGGAGCCTGCAGCCTGGGCCCGGCCAGCTGGCGGGGGCGCGCGGGGGGGGGGGAGCCCGGGAAGCTTGGGGCCCGTGGAGTCTGGAGCGCTGGGGGCCCTAAAGGACGGGAACGGGAGGCTGGGGTGGGGGACGACAAGGTATTAAAAATGAACCCTACTCCTGGCTGGGAGACCAGCCAGGGAGAGATCATCGGGACTATTACAATCCTAACCTCTCCTCCCATTCCCCCCCCCAGTAGCTGAAAAACACGAGAAAAAGGAAAACCCCCAAATTAAAGTGGTGGGGAGACCCCTCCCAACAAAACTGGAGCCAAACTAGGTTCGCAGTCGGGATGCTGGGAAGGGCTGGAAAAGGAAAGGAGGAGGAAGTAGGAGGGGGGGAGGAGCTGAATTTCAGCCTGAGTGAGACACTGAGGCTGGGCACTGGGCAGCACCAGAGACAGAGACCCTGGAAGGGAGTGCCTGAGAGCTGGAGAGAAGGCTTGCGTGCACCTCGGGGAGCGCTAGGTCCTGGAAAATCCTGTCATTGAACCCCAATAACAGCGACACCACGTTATCTTCAGGAACCCCGCCCCAGCTTGACCCAGAGGGCTTGCTCCAAAGTAGCATTAAAGGCAACTCCAGAGATGAGGATTGTATTTGGGAGACACCAGCCCCGCTGCCCCAGCTCTAGAGTTTGACAGCTTCAGTCCGAAAGTGCCTTCCCGCTGCAGCCAGCACGCACCGTAGCAATAACCCATATTGATTCTCCTCCACTTCCCCATGCACCGAGACACACAGAAGTGATTTCTGAAGTGCTCTTAAACTTCAAACAAACCTCTATGCCACCCTTGCACTGCTGTTTACTCCTAACGTTTGAAGTTTTCATTTTTAAAGACCGCACCTATTAATTTTATTTTTAATTGGGCACATTTGGGATTTAATGTAATATTGTATCTTAATTACAGTACAATAGTATTCTATGCCACTAGCACATGAGCTGAATCAATAATTTGTAGGCCACTGAGGTTCACAAGAAGGACTGGACCCTATCTAAGGTAGTGGCACAAATATATTTACACCACCACCGCCGCCACCCCCATGAATCTGTGGCAAGGATGCGCAAGATACCCACATAAACATACCCACACTATTCTGTGAGTTGGCCCAAATAGAGATACTAAGGAAACACCCTAACCTCTATGAGCAGTGGAGCACAGGATGATTGGGAGGAGGGAAAAGTTCGAAGTTCCCTATAGGTTTCTCCCAGCCTCCTGGCCTCCCTACAATTCTAATTGCCCTTTTAGTTGCAAGTACCCCTGGTTGCATTCCTATGTTAAAGTTTCTTAGCTAACATCTGAATTATCTGCTAACGATTAGCTGACATTCAGCTGAGAAGGCAAGAATGGGATGTAGAAGGTGTACTTAGAAGCAAAAAAGTGCTGATTTTTAAAGTGCAAACTTTACTGCTTTCACAATTAATTTTTTTAAACTATTAAGGCTCTGATTCTTACTCAAAAGTTATCTGCATGTTACCTTGCACAAGTGCTGGAACCACTATCAAAACCATTGATAATATATCAACCAACTCACACTCACCATGTCCCTGTCACTGTGCTAGGTGCTGGGAATTGTTTTAAGAGTTGAAATAATACCTACTCTCAAGGAGGCTGTATACTAATAGAGGAGACAGTATATGTTGTACCTCCTCTGGGGCCTCAAGCTTGCAGCTGGATCATCAAAGTGGTGACTGCTGCCTCCGGTTTTTGGTATAAACCTATGGGTGGCTATTCCTACTGTTATTGCTCACAAAACCTTGACCAGTGTGTTTTATCAGCCATAGAGAAAAACAGTTGGTGCAAAATATTCCTCCAACAAAACCTGGGAACACTTTCTCCAACGAATACACAGACTCATGAGTGATAGTAAGGAACAAATTTAAAGAACAATAGTAGTGAGGTACTCAAATAGGGAGTACACATGACTAAGGCAACTTACAACTCTGGAACTGCAGGAAATTGGTGTCTTTTCTCTGTCAAGTCCTCACAAAGTTCATTGTGGGTTGATGGATGAATGGCTCGGTTGGTCTTACTTCTGAGAGAACAGTATCTAAAAAACTAAAAATGAAAGTTTATGGGCTTTGAAAAGTATTAGCAAAAAAAAATTTTAAATAATAAAAATAGATAAATAAACAAATAAATAAACAAGCAAACAAACAAACAAATAACTAAGTGTGTTAGCTCCTCCTGTCGCTCCTAATGGATATGTGGAAAAAATTAATGTTTGGTTAAAAGTCTGAATGGACCTGTAACTACCCCAAATCCAGATTATCAGCCTCTTAGCAGTCCCTGATATCATTCCTTCTTAGGCAGCTATGTAGTCTTCACCACCTCTAGCCTCACGCTTGTCTGGAATGCTACACTATACTCTTTCAGAAAGGACAAAGGCCTTTACCCTTGCACTGGCAGAAACCTCCAATTCTGCTCCTTCAGGACATTGGCTCTGAGGTTTTCACCTCTCAGGCAGGAGATAGAAGAGTTATAGTCAGCGGTAATTGATAGCCAGCTCATACTAGAGCTGATTATCAAATTTTCAATGTGAGCATTTCTGCCTCAAAAATCAGCACTTGATTTATTGATTATCTAGACTTGAGAAAGTGATTAAAAAAATTAATAATGCAGATTAAACTTATACATTCACTGACCCCTCTTGTCAAGAGCTAGTTGTTAAATATTTACTAGCACAATGCTGAGTACAGCCTTTCCTTTTGTCCACTTTTCCCAATTCAAGGCTGGGCTCTTTCATTGAGGGACCTCACCCTAACCTTATAGTGACCAATCGGTTGTTGTTAGTCATGTTTGACTCTGCATGTCCATGGAGTTTTCTTGGCAAAGATACTGGAGTGGTTTACCATTTCCTTCCCCAGTGTGCCCCCACTTGACAGATGAGGAACTGAGGCAAACAGGGCTAAGTGACTTGCCCAGGGTCACACAACTAGTTAGTGTGTCAAGCCAGATTTGAACTCAGGAAGATGAGTTTTCCAGTCTCCAAGCCCAGCACTCTATCCAATTCACCACCTAGCTGCCCTGACAACCAGTACATTTCCCAAAACTCCATCTGTGTAGGTTAGGCCATAATCAGTCTACAAAAATGTAGCAAATAATCACCACACAGTTCTGGGGTTTGGGGCTTCCCAATTTGAGGATTCCCCTTTTTTATGTCTAGTTTCCTCCTATTAGTCTTTGGAACGAATAGCTAAAGAAAAGGTACTGAATTAGATAATTTATGCCCTGGAGGCAAGTTCATTGTCTCTGCTTGTAGCCTTTAAGATACATTTTCTGTTGTGTCAGACTCTTTGTGACCCTATTTGGGGTTTTCTTGGCAATGATTTTCTTCTCCAGCTCATTTTACAGATAAGGAAACTGAGATAATCAGGATTAAGTAACTTGCCTATGTGACAGGGTCACAGAGCTAGTAAGTGTCTGAGCACGGATTTGAACTCAGGAAGATGAGTCTTCCTGACTCCAGGCTCAAGCACTCTATCCACTGCACCACCTAGCTGCCCACTGAGACATGTAGAATACATTTGAAAGACACTTACTCATATCTAATGTCAATCAATCAATATTTATTAAGTGGCTGCTTAATAACAGGCACTGTGCTAAGCACTGGGGATCTAAGAAAGAGCAAAAGACAGTTCCTGCCCTCAAGGAGCTTACAGTCTAATGGAGGATTCAACATGTGAACAAATATATACTTAAGCTATATACAGGGGCAGCTAGGTGGCAGGGTGGATAGAGCATTGGCCCTGAAGTCAGGAGGACCTGAGGTCAAATCCAGCCTCAGACCAAACACTTGACACTTACTAACTGTGACCCTGGGCAAGTCACTTAACCCCAATTGCCTAAAAAAAAAAAAGAAAAGAAAAAAACTATATACAGGACAAATAGGAAATAATTAACAGAGGGAAGGCACTAGAATTAAGAGGGTTAGGAAAGGTGGGATTTTAATTGGGATTTAAATGAAGCCAGGGAAATCAGAGCATTCCAAACATAGGGGGACAGCCAGAGGAAATGCCCAAAGCTAAGAGTGTCTTATTCACATTTCATATCTCTGCTCTGGCCACTTACAGCCTTCATTTTTGCTGTTGTCTAAAAGGTTTACACCCTTCTGTTGAGGTTTAAAGGTTTGGGAAAGTCTAGGGTTTTTCCTTTTTGGGGTCCAGATCCCAAAGACATGGTCTTTTCCTTTTAGAGGTTCAGATCCCATCCCCATCACTTCCATAAATACAT